ACTGCAGCAGGAGTTTTCTTTAGACTATATTTTCTATCTATCTTCAGATTGTGTCAAACTGAGATAAGGAAAAAGCGATCTGCCATACAGGCTGAGCTTTGTGCGGCTGGACCCCAGGGATCTGTAATAAATCGTTCTGGATTATAGTTCCTGTCTTGCTCCTATACGACTGTATCGCCATCCATGAACACAACCTTTTACATGCCCTCATTTAGAGTTTCTGCCGTCCTCATTAGGTCTTCTTCTGGGGCCAAGAAAACCACTGATACAGAAAACTCCTCCATTTCAACCTGATATAAACTGTACTGATGCCATTATTGCTCAGCTTCTCTTCCACAGAGGTTTCATATCCTGGTTCTGTCATGATCTCAGATATTTTGTTTTTTTTTTTCTGTCAGCTTATCTCAGCATGTGTGTTTCTAAAACTCCTATAACAGGGATGTGTCTTCTCACACATTGTTTGTGTTCCTCGACATTTTATGAAGGTGTGGAAACCAAACCAGCATATCAAGTTTAACTACAAAATACACGCTGGCACTTCAATAGGAACCGCTGAAAAACTATAAATATGTATGTCAAAAAGTAGCACCACTCAGATCTCATCAGTAAAGGTCTGTTTTTACTCTACCTTTAAACTGATGGGCAGCAGCAGAATTTAATGGATGGGTGGATAGATGAATATGTCAAAGTTGTGTCTCATTTTATCTTCTTTATAGATACATGCAGATGTGATGTTTTGAGTGGGGTGTGAGGAAAAAATTCAGATCACTATATATTCAGTCTGTTTATTATCGTGGTGAGACGGATAGAGGAAACAGGACCGCACTAGATGATCGCTCTATTACCCCATTTACACTACCCTTGAAAAACCGATCCACGCTGGGACCGGTCCTAGCTCGGGTCAGTTAACAAGAACGAGCTTGGTTCTGACAACCGTTTACACATCATGCTCTCTTGGTTCCTTGACTCCTCGCATCCTAGTGACGATCTGCAGTATTACTGCCAGTATTGAAGGAGGAAATCAAGCAGTTGGTGGCGGTAATGCACCAAAACCTGTTTGCCAACCGCCATAAAACACAAGAAGAAGAAGACGAAGGAGGAGGGAATCAAGCAAATCAAAATGGTGGAGCCGGTCACATTCAGAAAGTTATGCTTGATTATTATTGCTGTACTTCGGTGTTTGTGGAGGGTCAGGAGAAGACGGCAACCTTTCGTGGATGTTAATAGTTGTTGTTCTTCTGTTTTGTGTTGGTTGGCAAGCAACTTCCGGAGGGGCATTACCGCCACCTACTGGAATGGAGTGTGAATCGCGATGTGCAGCCTGATGGAGATGACGTGTTCTGCTCATGCGCTCTTGTTATCAGAGAACCGAGCCAGGGAAAAACCGAGCCGAGCCCACCTCTGGAACTGGTCTGCAGTTAGCGCGGTTCAGTTGTGTCTAGCTCGGTTCAATTCAGTTTCCATTTACACACGATAGGTTATATCAGGTACTGAGCTCGGACCGGTCTCGGAACGGTTTTTCAAGGGTAGTGGGGTATATCATTTATTTTTGCATATGGTTAAATGTTCTTTCATTTTATACATTTCTAAGGTTAAAACTCAGCAGGCCTCATCAAATAAGGGCCCATCCTATCAAAGGTTACATCAGATTTATGATAACTGTTCATGACATCTGCTCACAGTGTGAAAACGTACTGCTGTTAGAGGCAAAGCTGAAGATAAAACCATCTTTCTGCCAAATAGCTCAGTGTGACAGCAAGTTGGTCGCTACAAATAGCTTGTGCTCCAATAAAATATCATGAGAGAAAAAAAAATCAGCTCTAATAAAACACAGTGTCATTTTTTTTCTTTAGTAAGTCATTATGGTGTCATTAGCAGGATTTACTCCTTGTGATGAGTGTGCCAGCAGCCCTCAGAGATGAGTACCTTTCTCTAATCAGCTTTCAAGTATTACTCTTCATCTTGCTTAAAAATGATCACTTATGGCTTAGAAAAAGGAAAAGATGGCGACTACCAAACATTACAGGGCTGTATTACGAGGTCATATTTTTCGCTCTCTTGGCTACCATCATGTGACAGGGACTTAAAGTAGTACGTATGAAACACACCTCACATTACCTGTTAAATTAAGCAGGCAACACATGTGTTACAAGCAATTTGTAAAATTCCTAATTAATTGACATTAGTGCCAGAATGTAAAATACACACAAATGGTTTGTTGGCACCCCTGATGAAGAGGTGAGGGAAACCTTAAAATAAATTCGTAGTTCACCGCTGAAGTATAATCTCACATTGAAAAGTGTTAAACAAACTGACTTTAATTTTTCTTGCCACATTCAGTTCTGCCCATGAAAATCCCTTTAATAAAGATGTTATTGAAGCACCTTTTAACTGACACTTTGGGTTTCAGTGAATTACTAATTGGTAATTCATAACTTTATTTCTACATAGGATGTGACACAGAGGTGGTTCTAGCAAACTGGACTGGACTCAACACTGAGAATCTGTATAAGAAAGCCCAGAGCAGACTCTTTCTGCTGAGGAGACAGGTCTTTTGGAGTGCAGGAGGCACTCCTAAAAACCTCCTATGACTATATTGTGGCACCATCTTTCATGGAGGTGTCTTTTGGAGCAGGGGCTTAGCTGTAGCTGAGAGGAAGCAGCTGGATAAGCGGATCAGGAAGGCCAGCTCGGTGATTGGATGCCCTCTGGACTCAGTGCAGGAGGTGGGAAACAAAAGGATTCTAACTATATTAACATCTCTGTTGGATGTTTCCCACCTCATGCATCAATCTGTTGCAGAACTGAGAGCTCCTTCAGTGACAGACTGCTGCACCCTAAATGCACCAGGGAGCGTTATCATAGATCCTTCCTCCCAGCAGCTCTAAGACTCTATAACCACCACTGTTCCCAACAACCTCAATAAGTTGTTACATTCATGCTCATTTTGCACAGTTTCTACCTTAGACAGTTAAATAACATGCTGCTGTCATTTTGCACATCTCTGATGTTGCCGCTATTTTCAAATATTAATTACTGTAAAAATGTCCATAGCTGTATCTTGATTATTTATTCTCCGGGTGCAAAGTTTTTATATTGTTTAAACACTTTACAGTACAGTATTTTATTGTTTATCTTTTAACTCTTCACTATTATGTTATTCTTATACATTTTTCTAAGGTTCAAATTTGTCTGATCATTTTTTTATGATCTTTTTGCTGCTGAAAACACCAACATTTCCCCATTGTGGGACATTAAAGAGATTTTCTATTCTATTCTCTCTTAGGGATTCACCGTTATGCTGGATAAAGTCACATGTTGGTTAATAAAGTTTAAAATAGATTGATTAAAACCCACCACCAGATAACAGTAGTGCAAGGGTCTCCAAAAAATGTTTTAATATCCAAAAACTGGTTAAAAACTGTTTTTTGGTTTCCTCTCTTATCACATCATATGTAAATATTAGAAAATCTCTTGACTCTGCTGGGATGTTAAGAGTAACTTTGAACTTAGATACAACAAAATGAGTGGAATAAGAACTACTGCCCAGTGGTTAAATTTGTGGAGAATCTGTAACATTGTGGTTCAGTCACTATTTAAATCTTTTATAAACTAAGCAGAATCCTCAACTCTTTAAAATATCAATTAAAATAAAACAACATTGAAATAAACTGCTGGATTGTGCCCTAAAACCTGAAAAACTGTGATGGTATCTGTGTCAAGTCCAGTACTAGATGTGTCTCCCACCAGAACTGATTTTGATTAAATTTCACTAAATAAAGTAGATAAAGCACAAACCTCCTGCCCTCTTGTTTTACTGACAGTTTCCTTTAAAATAGCTCGGCCTGTCATAAGCTCTGATTTAAAGGCAGCAAAGAGGATTCTGTGGTGGACGTTATGTCCAATGGCTGTCTGTGTGTCCATGTGTCAGAGCCCCATCCTTCGCAAAAGTTTTCTACACTGGAAACGTCTCTGCCGGTAGGTTTGAATTTCAACTAGAGAGGCAGCAAAATACTAGGATGTACTTAGTCAGCAGGAAATCTCCATAAGGAGAGGTCTCTGCCAGCGTTATCACAGTAAGTTATAGTTACAATTTATTGGTGTGGTCTCATTGCTGTTGCTACAAATTACTTTGGTATTTAAAGAGTGAACAAGTGCTGGAACGCCATCAATTAAATCATTTTAGATGAATTTCGACACTTAATTTCTGAGAAAAATCCTTTCATACCTTTAACTAATCAAATAATAAATCCTGACGCCCTAAAAACAGCTATTTCAAGCAACTCTAAAAAAGAACAATTTGGAAAAACTGCAAAAATACATCAGTGAGATTATTGGAAATGCTATTTAAACAAGCTAAACCCCTTCCTTACAATGACTGGCTACTAATTTTTACAATAATTTCATTCATTTTAATAATTCGTTTTTATTTATTCAGTTATCTTTATACCACTGCGATGCGTTTCTTTTTCCCTGTAACGCTTTTTTTTTTAATTACATGTACAGCCTTTTGATTTGTGTTACTACTGCAATGTGCCATATAAATAAACTTGCCTTCCCTTTCAACTAGATCAAAAGATACAAAAAACATAAACACAGAAATGAATCGCCAGAAACTAAAACCACCTTCTTTTATGACTGTCTCTGAACTGCCGAGTAAACGGCACGAGAAAGGCTGTAATGACGGTTAAAGACGCCTCTGTCAGCTCCGACCTTGTGAAATCCAGCTGAGATGTTTTCTTAAAGTTTCCCAACTACAAAAGGGTGTCAAAAAAACCTTTGACAGGTTTGATTTGGATTAAAGTTTTCATTAAAAAAAACAACCGTTTTCTCACTCAATACAAATCATGTTTAAGATTTGAATCCCTTGAAAAAATTTTGTGCAAGATTATATCCAGGTTCAGTAACAGACTCATTATAAAACTTTTACAAACCTTTTAAAAAACAGATACTAATAAATGTGCATTTAACATGCCGGACCAGTTGAGTGTGTTTCTGACCTCCAGTAACCGGGTCTTGTCGTACTCCCTGCGGTGCTGGTAGATACACTGGCTAAGGTGGGAGTAGAGTCTCTCCAGCTGCTCCACACTGTAGCCCTCACTCTTCTTTACCACCATATCCAGCAGAACCTATGGAACAAGACAGAAATGAAAATATAAGACCTCTAATAAATACATAGCCTGCATCATAACTGTGCACAGAGACTGTAAAGATACAGACCTGGCACGTACGCAGAGCACACGGCTGTTGGTGCTTGGAGATGCGGCATTTAGAAGTCAGAGGTATTCAAAGGCAATTAAGATCAGAGTGACAGCTAATTAAAGCTAATCATAATTAGAAGTAAGTTTACATTTCACCGCTACTTTAATTAAAACATTGGAAGCAGTCGAAGGCTCTTCTAATTGACCTGTTCTTCACATTTTACCCAAGTCAAAGTCAGCGACTCTGTGCAGGTTCAGTCAAACACAGGGCTCATCAAAATGCAAGGGCTGAGGTCTGTGAAGGCACAGTAATTAATGTTATCACCTCTGGCACCAGGGAAATAGGGAAACCCCTACAGCAACAAACTTATGAACACACACACGTGTGTGTCTTTTGCAACCCAAGACAGTGACCACGTGCTTAATGCAAAAATCAAAGCGATATTGGAATTAATAAGACATGCATGTTTGTCAGTCTTTCATCAATGAACATGTGAGAGGTAATTACAGTGAACGGTGGAAAAATTGCAGAGGCGAAAAGGGTGAGCACTGTATTAATCACTGAACTTCATCTAACAATGATTTGTGATTAAATAACAGTGCCTTGATTAAAGTCAAAACATGAACAAGCACCAAAAGAAACTTTGATCCGCTTCTAACTGGAAATTTTGGCCTCAACAAATATTTCTTTTTGCTTTCTTTTTTCCGAGCACAAACAATTCAGAAAAAAACAGAGTTCTGAGCCTTACAGCTGTTACCAAGAAACTCTTACCATTGACAGGCAGAAGAAAATCAGCTTAAAATAGAACAGCTTAGACATTATAAATGCAACGCTATCACAAAGTCAAGTCGGAGGGAATTCAAGGAAAAAACAGGCTTTCAAAGTATTAGTCTAGAAGCTTTCTCAGCTGCAGGGATGCTGATTGGTTCCCATAATACAAGTGTACGGTCTATAGGTACTGGTGAGCTTAGCAATAAGAGGATTCTTACTTGTTATGATAGAAATCTGTTTTTAGACTTTAAATAAAGACCAGAATGGCTCCCAGACTCATTAACACCGTTAACCTCAGATCTTTGACTATGACTTAACGTCCAACATCTGTTTGGACAGATATGCACTAAGCAGCCTCATAATAGACATCTATGCTTTCCTATTAGTGTTATTCGAATTTAATTTAGATACTTTTTAAATTAATCTGATTTTTATTATCTTTATATATTTAAAGGAATGAAAAAAAAATCCCTCAGTTGTTTGTATATTTCAGAACTGGCTAATTCCCATCACAGGCTGATCTCAAATTCAGAGCAATGAAGAACTAAAATAAATTTACTTTGTCCTGTATTTAGTTTTGCAGTACTTCAGATCGAAATTAAACAAAGCATACACTCCCTGTAAAAAAGTTAATCCCTGTTCATGAAAATTCCTACCTTAGCAAGGTTCTTAAACGCACCACATGCATAACACTCAGTCCGGAGCAGACAGCGGTTTAATGATCTGCAGTGTGTGCATCCATAGAGCCGTGAGTTAATATGTGTATTTTGTGTTAACCCCCCTATGCCTACATTCATTGCTAAGCAGTAGTTTGCTGTCGTTTGTATTGTGTATTTCATGGTGAACGGTTAGCTAAAAGGAGTGATTTGTTTTTAGCTGCTAACTAGCCGTATGCTGAGAGTTTGATGTTGCAGTATTGCTAATCCCTGTCGATTATACATTGCATGCTGAATGCTGGTATGATATTTCAACCTTTGAGTTTTATTTTATTTTCTACGTTCTGAATCTGTACTGCGATTGTATTTCAGAAACCCCACACAAACCCCTAAAAGATCCTTAAATGCAGATAAATCAATTAAACCTGATTAAAGGAGTCTGCTTCTTCTTACTGCAAGCACCTGAACATCTCTAAAGTGTCCTGACCCGAAACCCTGAAGTAATTGTTTCCACCTAAGTTCCATATACAGTCAGTCTATCATACACTCTCCCTTTTATTCTTTGTACCCATCTATCATTATTATATCCAAAACAAACATTAATATTTATTTTTTATGGAAACCCATTCATGTCTCACAGCTAAAACAAATTGAAAATCTGTGAAATATTTTGATGTTAATGTGTATTGAAGTGCGCATAAAGCCTATATTATTGTACATAGCCGGCAACCTCATCAACTCTGAGGTGTGGTGGGTTTTAAGGTTTGAATTAAGACAAAACTGTTGCTTACATGCATGATTTACTTAAGTTATTTAAGGCTCTGCATGCATCACTTTAGAATAACAGTTCAATTTGAATCCATACCTTTCATCAATCGCACTGACTGCAGGGTGCGCTAAGATTATGACCTGAAATCCACTAATCAGCGATCTTAACAAACATAAGTTTCTAGACCAATAATAGATACTCAAAGAAAAAAACTAAAATACTAGAAAATCCCCTCCAGGGTTTCGTTAGAGTAATAATAACCATCTGGGTTACCTACAAATTTCCCACCCTGTTGTTAGATCCTAAACATGTTGTGTTGGTGTCTATTTTAGCATCAAATAACATCTTTATGTTGATTAATAAAATGTAGCTATGGAGTTTTAGAGCAACCAGGTAACAGTGGATCACCTTAGAATGATATCCCTTTTTATTTTAGCATTAAAAGCTCAAATCAGCATAATTTCAATCAAGCTAACAAATATGAGAAAGAAAGGTTTTCCAGCCTTTGTTTTGTGCATCAAATGCTGCATTATTTTCCATGTTTATCATCATTCAGGATGATTTAGAGAACATCTTTTCTTCCTCTGGAAAGCAAGTCCTAACCTCAAGCTATTCTCTGTGTGCAACAGAGCCTCTCCTCGAATCATTTTCAATCCCATTTTAACACTTTTGAACAACAAAAACCTTTGCTTCCAGCACATTTGTCTTTTCTCTCCTTTCATGTTCCCATTTTTCTTTTCCTCCTCCCCTATCCATCCCCTCACTTTCTTCTCTCCTCGCACAAAGCTGATTGCAGCAGTTTACTTGCCGGCCTTTGCTGGCTTGATCGGGATGCTGCCGTCAGTGTGTGGCAAATGGTGTGCGAGTGTGTCTTACACAGGCTCAGTGACTGAGTGAGCTCGCAGCACACAAAAGGCCGGTAATCCCTTGCGTTAAAGACTACTACTGACACGGCCCATTTAACCTCAGCCCTCTAAACTCCCTTCACTATTGTCCCCTCCCCATCTTTCTACACATCTCTATTTTCAAATGTCTTCAAAGCACAGACACAGGCTGCAGGATGGTTCTGGAGGACGAGAACGAAGCAGGATGGTGTTTTGGGGAGTATAATGCAAGAATTTTCATACTTATTAAACTATTTTACATTTTGTTATAGTAAAACCATAAATCTTAGATTTTAATAGATTTTGAAGCAACAGAATTGCATATCTGAATTGGAAGAAATAAAAACAACAAAAAAGCTGTTTTTCTTTCCTTTATTCAAAAGATAAGACTGCTCTGTCACTCGGCCTTCTTGAGTCCCTACTTTGTAAAACAATCAACTGAAGCTCTCGTTGAATGTTTATAGTCGCTGTCCTACAGGAAGATAAACCTCGGTCCCAGTCTTAAGCTTTCTGCAACATCTAACGGGATTTCATCCAGTTATTTTAGATCAACTCTGTTCAACTTCCCTATTGCAGCTGAAGAAAGTGAACAGGTAGTGAACAGGCTGATGCAGTGTTGCTTTTTAGCCAAACATGGCATTTTGCATGTGGGGTTAAAACTTTAGTTTCAGATTGTGTGAGGAGAGCATTCTTTCTTGAGAGTTCTGCATGGCTTTCGGTAAACTGTTATTTTTTTTCCCCTACTTTTCTTCCATAAAGGAGAAATCTTTGGAACCTGAGCTAACAGGAAATTAATAAAGTAATAACAGTGGAAAATGCCTATTTCCCTAAGATCCATCTTTGGTTATATGAACTGAAGGTATTAACATGAGAGTTGATTCAGATTTGGAAAATTGTTTTTTGTTCTTTCTAAGAACAGCCCTACTAAAGTGGATGTCCATCTAAATTTGGCAGACTTATCTCAGTAAATCAGTGGCGGCATTCTCTTTCCTTATTTTCATGATAGACTGAACATTAGTGATATACAAATTACCTAGATCTAAACTCCACAGAATTAAGTATGACCGTTATGAATTTTTCGTCTGTTTTAATGATGATGTTTGCTCACAAATTTTAATCTACAAATGACTAAAGCTTTGCAGAACAGCTGCGTTTAAACTGAGGTTAAATTACGATGAGGGTCTGTTTGTTAGAGGATTAAATGCTGGTTCATGATGCATCTCATGTCACGTTTTGAAGCATTATATTTTCTGTGTGGTTTTTCCTGCCTTGCCCAATATTCTGGCCAACTCTAGAAGCGAATATATGGCACAGAACATGATTTACACCACAACACTACATGTGAAGAAGGAAATACTTGTTTGCAACATTTTTAAATGTTCCTACTTGTCATCCAAGAGTGACAGTAAATTATTTCCAAAGGTTCATAGTCTGTTGATTGCAGTGATAATTAGTGATCTAATTATTTGATGTTTATATTTATGAACCACTCATCCATCTATGTTCGTTATAAAATTTCCATGGTGCACAATGCAGGGAAAACACAGGCCGTCTAGAAGCGTGTGGAGGGTCGTAGAAGCTAGGGTAGTGGACCTTCCCTAGAGTAAAGGAATGGTCTCATATTTAGAGCAAAAGTATGTGTCAAGATACATCCTGGTAGGTGACAAATGTTTACAAAATCGTTTCACACTCGGAAGAAATTAGAAACACATATTTTGTTCTGCAGTGTGGCAGAAAATGCCTGGACAAGTTGACAACTCTAATGTTGCATAGACCTCACAGATATGTCATGCATCGTAGAAGACAACGAGCTGCATTAGATTTCTTTATGACTTTCAGAGTAAAGG